AAAAAACTCAAAAGAAAGGAAGGTCACAATCATACAATGCCAATACTACTCACCTACAAATAATGCAGAGCAAGAGAAGAAAGAGGAATTCTACAGACAACTGCAATCAGCGCTGTACAAGACCTCAGTTGGCAACACCAAAATCCTAATGGGTTAAGCGACATGAATGTGAAACTGGGAGCGGACAACACAGGAAGAAAACCAATCATAGGTCGAGAGGCACTCGGTGAAATGAACGAGAATGAAGAAATGTTTGCAGACTTCGCAGCCAACGACTTGGGGATTAGAGGCAGTGTGTTCAAGCACAAGGATATTCACAAAATGATATGGACTTCAACAGACACCAGACACACTAAAAAGCAAATCAACTTCATCTCAATGTGAAGAAGGTGGAGATGGAGACGCAGCCTACCCGACACAAGATCACAAAGAGGAGCAGATGTAAGTTCAGACCACTCACTATCTAGTGCAAGGAAACTTCAAAATCAAGTTGAAAGCCTTCACAGAAGTTGGTGGTTGACCACAGTTCAAGTTGAACATCCAGAACAGAAACTGAACTGAAGGACGAAACTACAGAGGGTATCTTTACGTCAGTCAGTCATCAGAGCGAAATGCGAGACACTGAGCAACATCCTGAAGTAACCTGCGTGGAGGAAGACTGGAACTCTTAGAAAGCTATGTGGAAATAAACCTGCATAACCGTATTGGGAATGAAGAGAAAACAAGACAAGGAATGGATCTCGACGGAGACATGGAAACTGATGGTTGTGAGGAAGATGGTGAAGCAGAAGATGAACCAGTGCAGTGCAGTGCAGTGAAGGGATGAACAACGAAAGCAGGAAGTGAAAACAATGTATAAAACAGTACACTGGACAAGGGAGTGAAGATGAGTGCGTGGAAAGACAAAAGACACTACTACGACACATTAGCAAGCGAAGCAGAACAGGCTGCAGATAGGAGAGACCTGATAACATTTTATCAAACATTCAGGTTACTATCTGGGAGGGTAGAGATCAACACCGATTAAACCAATGAAAGATAGTGAAGGAAACTTAGATAGGAAAGAGGAGAAGGGAAGGAAAAGATGGGCTGACCACTTCGGAAAGCTGTTGAATCGACCACGACTACCAACTGCAAGTGGTCCGGAAATACCACCAGCAACGGAAGAAGTATCAGTGAACACAAGCACTCTGACGAAAGCCGAAGTGTAGTCCTGAACACCATAAAGCTGCTGGAATGCTGGAAAGCAGCAGGGTCAGGTGGAATTCCTCCAGAAGCACTGAAGACAGGGATCGACACAACGGGGACATGGTCACACCACCATTTCGAAAGGTTTACAAGGAAGAAGGGACGGAGGGAAGGAAGGAAGTGAGGAAGGAAGGAAGGAAAAGAGGGAGGGAGGGAGAAAAGGTACCTGCCGTATGAAAGGAAGGCTACCTTGTCAAACTCGCAAAGAAGGTTGACCTAAGTATTGCAATAGCAAGAACTGGCGAGGAATTATGCTTCACCACTACCCACCCCATGCAAAATATTAGGCCGTATCATCCTGGAGAGACTAGAAAATACTCTGGATTCAAAACTATGATCAGCCACAGACTGGCTGGCTGGCTGGCTTGGGGAAAAGAAATCATGTGAGGAGCAAATTGCAACGATACGCTGGGCATAATCATAGAACAGAGTATAGAATGGCAGTCAACTCGCTACCTTACCTCAACTTCACCGACTTTGAAAAGGCCTTCGACAGCGTCGACCGAGAAGTAATTTGGCAGGCAGCTGTTTCAACACTATGGTTTTAGTGCCACAAAACTATTTATCAACCTCATTCAACAGCAGCTATATGCTATATGATGCTACATACCATGTGATTGACAATGGAAATCTCAGCGATGCCTTTGAAGTGAAGACACGAAGGAAGTAAGACAAGGTTGTCGTCTACTAACACCGATCGTCTTCCTAATTGTGGTGGACCGGACTGGATTGGATCATGCAACAGATAACTCTGAGGAGCGAGTAGAGGTGTATACGATGTTTGTTCGATGAAAGGAGGCTAGAGGATTTAGATTTCTACGATGATGATTTGTGTCTAATATCTTGTCGCACAAACCAGAAGATCTACAGGCGAAAACTAACAAGTTGACAGAAGAGGTGAGGCAGCGAAGGAAGACGGGACTTCAAGTGAATGTAGAGAAGATGAAGGTGACGAAGATACCCAACCAACAACAATAATAACAACAAGCGCCAATCACCATTAACGGGAGAAACCTAGAGGAAGTTGTCTCTTTCACACACCTTCCGTTTTGTCAACATCGTCGCAACTACAGATGGAACAGGCACAGATGAGGATGTCAAAGCCAACCAGGATCGAAAAGACAGCAAGACAGGCTTTCATTAATCTGAAATCAGTGTGGAGATCTACTGTACTGCACCTCACTCAGCATAAAGCGTGAACGAGATCCGGAATTTCAACACCAACATCAGTCAATTCAGTGCTTCTATTCGATGGTTGAGAGACTTGGCGTGTCACGAGAAGCATTTCCAACAAACTACAGACATTCATCAACAGCTGCCACCTACACTCGCTCACTCGACACTGAAGATCAGATGTATGGCCAGAAAGAATGAGCAAGTAGGAACTGTGGTTGGCAGTGAATCAACCAAGAACCTGTCGCCCAACAAATCTGCAGAAGAGAGTGGAGATGTATTGGATTGGGGATACACTGAGATGGCCGACTGGGGACCTCTTGCGTCAGGCCAGGCTGTCGAGTGGAATCCGAGGGGGAAACGATGATTTTGGCGTCAGAGGTGAGGGTGACATTGAGGAGATGATGTGATGAGGACTGGAGAGAACAGAGTGGATTGGAGGCATGCTACTGAAGCTCAATGTTCCAATAGGAACCCAAGGGAAAAAATAATAATAGTAATGTGCTAAAAAATTTCCTCTCGCGATGGTAATTTAGATGGAGTGATGTGTAGTTTTTAGGTTTGTTTAAATTTTCATGGATGATGTTTCGAGTAAACGGTTAAAAATACCCAAATGTTAAGACTATGTATCAGCTAAATTTTGTTTAAAATGTTCAACTGTCTGATAAACTGCAGCTAAGTTAGTCACTGTGACAGAAGTTTCCAAATTTTAGGATAGGTCTGGATTCCTGTATCTCTTAATACAATAGTGAAAAAGTTACATTTGGAAGTAAAAAATGAATGAATGCATTTCGAATGACAAAATCTTGAAGGATTTCAAAATATCGTAAACAGCAATTAGATTTATTGTAAAGTTATCCACGAAGTGAAATTTAAAGGAATTAATCTTGTGAAATCAAAATATCCTAAATTGACAATGAATAGTTTTACAGGTTAACTGTTCCCTACAAATTCCTCAGTATCTTCGAACTTTATTTGATATTTCTTGTTGTGTTCCAGGAGCTTCATGTGAGCATAGCTAGTCCTATATGGATTAACTCTGAATAATTCCCAACTACCCAGACGGATTTGCTTCACTTGCATAAAACTGAAGTCCTTGCTTGTGAAACAAAAAATATTTCATAGGCACAAGGAGACACTCAGTCGAACATATCTTGTTTTACTTTATCATTTAAAGTATAAAATAGTCAGGGTTTTTTAAAAGTTGTCAGTTACAAATGCGGATGATCACACAAATGAATGGTTCATTTCACAAAGTACAAAATACTTATAGACCTAATTCATTGTCGTTTAATATATTGGAAATACGTTTTTTTCACGTAAAATGTAAATTTTTGGCCGGTCATTGCCTTCAGAGTAATAACTGCAAATGAATAAAGCAAATTCGTAACGTAAAAGCCAAGAGATGAATATTTAAGTCGCCTAAAATATTACTTTAGGGAAATCTGAATATGCACCGCATTCAAAAATGCAGCTATTTCGATGATGTTTTAGCAAAAGCAGTCATCAAAATGCACTTGCCTTCAATAGAAGCTTCTGAGCCAGTCAACCATATCAACATATTTGAAGCAACGTATAAGGCCTAATTTCACTTCTTCGTTTAGGTTTATAATAGACTTTATAATGCTTTTCGACCCCACATTTGAATTTCTGATAAACGTAAATGATGCATTAAAAAAATTCTATGTATTATTTATCCCAATAAGTATGATTTACAGATATAAACAGACTGGTGGTCACTCGTTATAAACCAAGCACATTTTTCCTTTCTGTTTCTAGAACCTTCGTACACTGGTGGAGTTGTTATCCGGCGTTCAATGAGCCTATGTCCAGAGCTTTCTACCAATCGACTCCTACTATTTAATACCAAAATACAGTGAGCTGTAGCGTCACGTCACTTTACTTAGGGGTCACGTGACAAAACGTGATCAGTCGACTTCCATCAGTTTTTGATGGTGTTTTGTTCTCTGACCTGGATGCTTTATTCGTGAAGCTTTCAGTGTCATTCTAGACAAAACCATCAACACAAGCTTCATTAAGAGGTGAGTTATGGAATTTCTTCCACAAGTGGTTTAATACCTTTTTCTGGTGACTGGGCATGACTGGTTGCTTTTGCTGGAGTCCAGTCATTGTCCCGACGCTTATTGCCATCTTCTGTCCTGTCAATAATGACAAAACTTCAGCAGAGACAACTAGTCACACCCAGAATCATCAGGATAAGCAACTAAACCATTGGGGAGGAAATCCCATAGCCCACTTCCTTCTGAACGACTCACGATTAATGCATACAGCTCAGAGAACATAATACCATCAAAAACATTCTACTGAGCTGCGAATCTTTCCCATCATCAGAAAATCCTACGATTTTGGTCAGCACTACACGTTAAGACTAGAAAGCCACATCAATTACCTACTGGAGACCAACTAGCATGAACTCAAGTTTCTTTGAAAATACTTGCAAATACTAAAAGCTATTATAAAATAATGTCAGACAGAAGATTTTATTTCTATGTTTACCTCTTTATATGGGAATATTAAATTATACTGATCAGAATCTCATATGAATAAATCGAACTTACTTCATGTGGAGAATTTAAATTTCTTAGCGATCCAGGATCTTTATATGAAGGAGAGTTTACACGATAATTTGGAAGTTGTGAACAGCTAGCCTTAAACGTTGAACAAGCTTGACTTGCTGGTTTGAATGTTGGACACGGTCCCATAAGCAGTTTAAGTTCATGATCAGGAGAGTCTGTAGAAAAGAAGAAGAAATTAGATTTTCATTTGCCACCGTGTTACGCAATAAACGTGAAAACGGTAAAAATGGAAACTGAAATGAGAGAAACACATTAAACCACTATGTTAAGGTCTGGTAGTCTACATTTCTGTTACTTAGTGAATTACTCGGATCATTATACGGTATCTTCAGTGAGTCGCTGTCTTCAGATCGCAATTCATCGAACTTGTAGGTAATGTTTTCTAGATTGAGATTTGATGGGTCTCTTTCGAAGCGGGTCACTAATGGGTACTTTATTGTTAACACTTAGTTTGCATCAGTATCCTGATATTCTACCATCTTGTCTATGATTAATAGATGCTAATCATGTCCAGATTTCCCCTCAAACATCAAGTTATTCATTTAAGTGCTATATGAGTGAGTAGTATCTATCTGTTTACTATAAACACAACGATTGCGAAGCTTGGTCAAATCTAAAGAAAGTTAATAGCCGAACTTCATAGTTTCGTTCCTACAGCATCATTTCAGAAGTTTCAAGATGATGGTTTCAACTACTTTCTTAGACCAAGTTTTCATCAACTTCATCCACCGAACCCGTTTAAATATGGTTTTCAGCCATTAGCATTTGAAATATCATACTAAGAGTCAACATTTGCATTCGTAGATATTGTAGTTTATTTTTAGGAATACTCGAAAGTTTTAGCGAAGCTGATATCAACTAAAAGCAGCATGTGCAAACCCCCTTGGAGGATGTATGTATGCATATATCAGTTTGAAACAAACCTTCTTAAAAGTTAACATGATTTAATCATACTACTTATCAGTAGGAGACAGAAATTGTTAGAAGTGATTTTTTTCAGTTTAAAATAGTACCAGAAGTAGATGATACTGCGGAAGTTGCCGAGGATCCTTTTTATATATCTTTCAGTAATCTGAAACACTAGATACTAGCTATTGACATTTGGTTGTTATAAATTTATAATCGAATTTTAGATACAGCAATCTTTTCAACTATTATTAAAAGACTTGTAGTGAAGATGTGCTGAAGGACTAGTTCATGACGTCATACTTCACAAGAGTATGTGATAAATGGCTGTAATGGACACTTCAAAGTAAAACTAGAAGAATGTAAACAGAGAGTGAAAAAGTCAAGAGCGTGAAATGGACGTCTGAAAGTTTCCTGAAAAAAGTGAACACACACAGGCTACTTTAAGTCACGGAACCAAAGGTCTCCAGCGAATGATTCCTGGCATCTCGAAAACGGTATTCATTTGAAAAACTCTTTAGTCAGCAGAAGTTTTTTCGATTGAAAAATCTTAGTGGTAAGTAATTTAGACTAAAAATGACTGTGTGTTAATATTTTAGCATGGGAAATTTTTCTATCAATACTTGCCAAAATGTCGAGTTACCGTTCACTCTGTAGGCATTCTACCTTGATGCCTAATTTCTCTTAAATGGACTTGACTAATCTATAGGTAGGATATATAAATAGTACTGTAAAAGCGGTCGATAAATATCCCAATCACACTCTTGTTTGCATACATTAAGTCTGAATTGTGTAAACCCAGAATATCACTTAGATGTGAACTACTTTTCAAAATATGCAAACAATAATCATAGTTACATTAGGATGAGGATGAAAAAAAGATACTATTTAATTCTACTTTTGTCACTGTGAAAAATAAATGAATGCAGAAGAAATATGTTATATTTATTTCTTTATGTGTGATGAATTTTCCTTTTTCCCTGTCGTTAACTCTTTATATAATCATAAAAATCAAACTTTTTTCTTTCGCCTAAGAAAAACACCATATCGACACCTAAAAACTAGGTGACTTAATTAAGTTACCTGTCAAATTTGACAAGCATAGTAAAACAAATTAATACCTATAGCCTGTTAACTGTTAACAGAACTATATCGATTCATAATTAGTTACTGTTAATTCAGGTATTATCTCAGTTCTAGTTTGAAAAACTGTCATCGTATTTGTCATTAAAATTATCACTTATATCTCCATAGAAGACAAGAGTTTGTTGATTTCAGCTAAGTATACTGAACGTGATGTCGATTACGGTTGAAACAAGTACAGAATGCAGGAGTTTTAAGTAGATACTGAGATGTAAATAAGGAAGGAGAATATCTCACCTTTCTCACTGTTGCTACTCGTACGATTTCTGCCTTACTATATTTATGATTAGATTTTAACAGAATCAGCTGTGATACTGTCATTGAAGATTCTAAGGGATGAGTCTTTCCAAGGCATTTAAATAATGTTTCGAAATTGTGAGGTTGGACAGTTAAAATTTCTCTACTTAGTGCTAGCAGCTACATCTTATCTGATACAACCGACAAACAGGTCGACTAACGTAAAAGTATACAGGCAATCTAACAATTTATCCACGTTTAGGATTTAATCCTAATAAAAAGCATATGAAACCTTTTCTTCACGGAAATTGATAGGAACCATAATTATTACCGTTTCAAGTTTTATTATGTGGCCACTACTTATCCGCCTGCTTGATCAACCAGCATATTTTCTTTAGACAACCTCACACACACAGAAAAACGTTTCTGTTGCTTCATCAGTTTTGTTGTGTATCTGTCAAGATATAAGCAAATGATGGTAATAAAATACAATTTTTACGGTATAGAAAATGGGCAAGTTGAACGGAAAGATTTATCCATTTTAAAGATAAAAGTTATTGTGGAGAGTTGCTGCAGCACTGGAGACAGTGTTTCTCATGGTATAAACTTACTTTATGCATTTCAAAAAAATTTGGGTTATCTCAGTACGTTTTAAGTTTATGAATTTTAACCATATCTATTTAAAGCCTTACTCATTCATTTTGTAATTGGCAATTAGATGTTAACAGTAAGTATGAATGACTTGATAGTTTTCACATTCCTCAAATGTCAATAGTTTTGGGTTTAAGGTTGCAGTCTTCAGTTTTATTGCTCTACTCTACCAGCTGATGGTCTAGAGAGGTCACTTATTGTTTCTTACAGTCAATTGAAGGCTAGTGTCAGGGAGTGCTTAGTACAGGCCAGATGTTCATTGATTAGTTACTGCAGAGGAACTAATCAGTACCCACTGTGGTCACCAAATTAGGAGACTCACTATTATGGTACACTTAACTTGATGTTAGTTCGTTGGAAGCAATCACCAACAAGCCTCGAAAGTAGGTTTCGTACTTCTCAGTACTCGTCAGCATGGCGTACCAGTAGCCTTGAGGAAACTGACATCCACCCACTTACTGACGAGTGTAAACATAACCCAGGGTTTCTTGCTGACTGTCTGCAATTAAATGACAAACAGTATATTGCGTGACATTTAGTTCATATTGTATCTCCAGCCTCAAGAAGGTATATGCTCTGTCAAAAATCAGAAATGTTTCCCAACATGCATCACTCAGGAAGGTTGCAACGGAAGGAATTCACACTTCGATGACTAATAAGCAGTTGAAAATGAAACATGCTCAGAAAACTGATTCTTAGTTTCGAATTCAGTCTATGATAGTATCAAGAATGGTTATCTTCAGAGCACATATCAACCCCAAACAAACCCCAGTCTTACTATTCTTACCTCATAGAGTTACGTAAGATTCAGGTCAACCGATTGTTGTGTTAAACTGCGTGCAATAAAAATTATGCTGAAATAAGAGATATACGCTGGTGCGTAGGATGAGATACAGTGATTGGTGTGCGAAAAGTTGTTTAAATTTTTACGTCTTTAAAAATATTATTGGTTGCCAGCAGTTATGTTTCATCTCATCAACTGTATCTAATTGACGCTTTTAGTGAAACTTATTAGTTGGACATTCATATTTATTGTCATTGCTCAAGATTGTGAGTTTAGTGAAAGATTACTACAATGGTTCCCCATCTGTATGTTTAAATTATTATTCTTTATTTCTGTTGGAACATAGAGCTTCAGTAGCACGCCTCCAATCCACTCTGTTCTCTCCAGTCCTCATCACATCATCTCCTCAATGTCACCCTCACCTCTGACGCCAAAATCATCGTTTCCCCTTGGATTCCACTCGACAGCCTGGCCTGACGCAAGAGGTCCCCAGTCGGCCATCTCAGTGTATCCCCAATCCAATACATCTCCACTCTCTTCTGCAGATTTGTTGGGCGACAGGTTCTTGGTTGATTCACTGCCAACCACAGTTCCTACTTGCTCATTCTTTCTGGCCATACATCTGATCTTCAGTGTCGAGTGAGCGAGTGTAGGTGGCAGCTGTTGATGAATGTCTGTAGTTTGTTGGAAATGCTTTTCGTGACACGCCAAGTCTCTCAACCATCGAATAGAAGCACTGAATTGACTGATGTTGGTGTTGAAATTCCGGATCTCGTTCACGCTTTATGCTGAGTGAGGTGCAGTACAGTAGATCTCCACACTGATTTCAGATTAATGAAAGCCTGTCTTGCTGTCTTTCCGATCCTGGTTGGCTTTGACATCCTCATCTGTGCCTGTTCCATCTGTAGTTGCGACGATGTTGACAAAACGGAAGGTGTGTGAAAGAGACAACTTCCTCTAGGTTTCTCCCGTTAATGGTGATTGGCGCTTGTTGTTATTATTGTTGTTGGTTGGGTATCTTCATCACCTTCATCTTCTCTACATTCACTTGAAGTCCCGTCTTCCTTCGCTGCCTCACCTCTTCTGTCAACTTGTTAGTTTTCGCCTGTAGATCTTCTGGTTTGTGCGACAAGACATTAGACACAAATCATCATCGTAGAAATCTAAATCCTCTAGCCTCCTTTCATCGAACAAACATCGTATACACCTCTACTCGCTCCTCAGAGTTATCTGTTGCATGATCCAATCCAGTCCGGTCCACCACAATTAGGAAGACGATCGGTGATAGTAGACGACAACCTTGTCTTACTTCCTTTGTGTCTTCACTTCAAAGGCATCGCTGAGATTTCCATTGTCAATCACATGGCATGTAGCATCATATAGCATATAGCTGCTGTTGAATGAGGTTGATAAATAGTTTTGTGGCACTAAAACCATAGTGTTGAAACAGCTGCCTGCCAAATTACTTCTCGGTCGACGCTGTCGAAGGCCTTTTCAAAGTCGATGAAGTTGAGGTAAGGTAGCGAGTTGACGGCCATTCTCTACTCTATTCTATGCTGATGAGTAGCATTATGAAATTTTGTGAAGCTAGTTAACGATTCGAGTGTTGCTTGTTGAGTGGAATTCGTAGGTTTTGGATTGCTTTTATAAGTAAAAGCATCTTCATTAAAGTTGAAAGTTTTAGCCAACTTGTTTATGGAACGGAAGATGGGTGAAAATCTTCTGAATGATTTTAAAATACACATTTAACTTATTGTGTCCAACTCGGCAAACTTAAAAATAAGCTTTTATATCTCGTTTTGAATTTCAGTCTCAGATAATTCAGTAGGTAAAGCTAACACGGAGCTCTTTTTGAAGGTTTTTATCAACAGTTACCACAACCTACATGAGAGAGGATAAATACGTTTGGCTTAGATCAAGATTGTCAGGTATGTTCAACCATCATTATATATCAACATCTCACTGACAAGAAGCCATCGAGAAGCTTCAAAATATCTTGAGACGGATGATTGAATAACACTCGCTAGACGAGGGTAAGGTATCAGTATTGTACTGACAAATAAATTTGATTGTATTCAAAAGATGCAGTCTGTTCAGGAAGACAAATCTAGGTTTTTCTTCTAGGAATTCAAACGAAACCATGAATTGTTAATGGGGAAATAAAGTAACCAACCAAATGCAGGGATTACTTAGGAAGAGATTTATCGATGGTTAAACATATAGTGAACTAAAACCTTGAGGATTACGCTTGCCATTCGTATTTGGATAAGTAAGGCTTGATAAACCGAATTCACCACTTGGATCTATTTTGTGTATGATCAATTTTCCCTGCTCAAAAGTCAGCTTGGTGGTTTGAAAGTCGACTCGATTTCATTGAAAAGAAACTAGAAGACGATAACCTGAGCGACTAATACGAGGTTGTGCAGGAAACAGATGAAACCAGTATCAAGGATAGGTTGATGGTATCTTAAGATATAGCAGCATTCTGCTACAGAAGACAGTATATACACTCTATCAGCACTTAGATGAAATATATTCATGCTCAAGAAAGAACTCAAGGACCTGTCGCTTTTTTGGACTGAGAATGTGCAATTTCAAATCAGCAACGAATTATGTCTCCAAAAGTGAAGTACTGGGAGGCTCTTTAGGAGTCTTCCTTGTATATGTTTTTGTTTCAGTCTTAGAAACAACCACATTAGCTCCAACTATTAGACAGACTCCAGTATATAACAGGTAGATTATTGACACGTTTTTTAACTGTAACATGGGTCATGCCACGAAGCTTTTGGAAATATTTACCAATAAAGTGCAGATGAATATTAACTTTCATTTTATGAACTTGAAATTAAGAAGAAGAAAAGATGGATCGTGTTAGCGATTCCCATTTAAAGATAGATCTCTATTTCAGTAGTTCTTGTCGTATGAGTTAAAATCAGGGACTGGTTAAAACGCTACTTAATAGAGATAGAAAACTGATTGATAAAGTTCACTTCGTCGAGAGATGTCTAAAAGAAGATAGTTACCCTCACATATTCATAGATGAAGTCAGAAGGAAAGCAGCAGAAACAACTGGGTTAATAATCCCAAAACGAGGGAGGGGGAGGGACTGATGAAGAAGGTTAGTCGGGACATCAAAGAATAGCACTGAAAATCACTATCTAAGTTAGTCTTCTTGTGCGAAACAGTGTTTACTGAAAGAAAATGAAAGTTGACGGGATTCTAGCTCATGTTACCTCAAACTGTATTTACCAAGTCTCGTGTAAATGCCAGAGCACGGAACGCATTCCAAATAAGTTACATATGAAGGGGCCAGTGTCTGAAATATCCTATTACCAAATATTTGAAGAATACAGGATACAAAAATCAAGATCTTGATTATTTTAAAATCATCAGCAAACAAAATAATGCTTACTTACTAAAACTTACGGAAGCCGTTGCCATCAAAAGAATTAAGCCGAAACTTTGTATCCAGAAATTGACATTTAGTAGCCTCCATGATAACCACAGACGCTTATTACTCAGTGAAAAGTCTTCCAAGTTTTTATATGCTATCGCCTTTTCATCCTCTTTATTTTACAACGGGTTTCAGAATCGATTCCTATATTACCTACACATTTTTACCATGTGACCCAAATTGATTCACTTTAACCCACATTTAGCTTTTAACTTTGTTTTTCGTTATTACTTTTCATGTACACTTAAGCAAGCTTTTCTTTTCCTTTTTTTGCATTTGTCACAAGTAGAGGAATGACAGTCTGACTACATAAACATTTAACAATTTTAGTTTTAATCTCAGTAATTTGTTTCATTCCAACTTCTTTGACTTGAATCATTTTTCACTTTCTTTCATCAATAGACTATCTTCCTCTCAGTCACAAAAGCATGCAGATTGCATTTTAATGCACATATCTCATTATTTTTCTAGCTTGTATGTATGTGAAAAGGAAGCGAAAAAATACTGATAATACATCACATTCTTTAAAATTTATTGTTCTTGCTCTACGGAAATTGTTAGAGAAAACCAAGTGTATGAAACAGTTGAATTATCTTGTAGTGCTCATTAGTAACTTTCTTTAGGCTAAATTTCTCGAATTTCTATTGATAATTCGTGACCTATGGTGTCAGAGAAATGGTAAGTATGGTGGATTTAAGCTGATAACCCTTTATTGCCAAGTGACAAACATAAGAGAGAGTGGAGTACTAAATTCAAACTAAACGATAGAATGGTAGTATGCTCACAGTGAGGCTTGATAGTCCTAAGCCAAATCTCTCACGAAGCCATGGGTGTTCACTACTGAGGAGTTTTAGATGAAGTGAAGTAGCTGTTCACAGCTTCCATGGTTTCAATGGTTTTTCAATGGAAGTCGACAAGCTATAAAATTAATCTCAAATAAAACAGTGTCACAACTAAGTGTCAACAAAAACCGGGCTAGCGTTTTGCAACACGTATTCTTAATAGTTTGCCGATCATTTAAGCCTGTTATGTCAACTAGGCAAAGCTTATCTTAATCAGATTTGGGCAGATAAGATGCTCGTAGACTTGGTAAAAATAAGAAGCGTGAAAAAAATTGACGAGAAAGCCTACTTTTAGCTGATGAATTATCCAGGAGACGCTCTTCAACACGCTTCAAGCGACAGATTGTCCCAGTTTGACTTGCTCTTTTTATATTAGAAAAATCATTCACTTTCGTAGGTGATGGATGAAACGGATGGTTTGAATTAAATAATTTCTGTGATCTTAAAGTATCAGGCTTCTTGGGGTCTAATGTTGCACACATCCACTGATTTCTGTCTGAATTCGATAAAAAGCTTTTGATCATTTTGTCTGAGTCCGTAGGTTGGGAAGGATGACGAAGACGATTTCCATCACTTAACAAATGATCAGCTCCTCGTGAAAGCAACCCATCTGCTTCAAGCATTCCCGAATCTCTGAACACCTCCTCAAGGTGATGTGTATGATTTAGAGTTTGTCTGTAGAACCTAGGGTCGTTTTGTTCGCACTGTACTGTACTGCGTTGTGTACATGTACCACAGCGTAAAAACAGGATTGCCAAAATAAGTATCAGGGAGATTATTAGTGTTACTGCGACCATAATTACAATTACGATCAAATCATTTTCTAAGTAGGTTCCGTGTCCAATAACTGTATTCCTCTGCCTTCCATGTTCACCATCCCCACCTAAATCACTGTCACTGTCGCTGAGTAAGTATGCACTTGTTTGTGATAAATAACGAAAGATGTCTATTTGTAGGACCCGATGATTAACCTTAGCTGGACGACCATGGTCACTTGCTTCTAGAACCAACTTAATTGACCCGATGTCATCTATACTCATTGACCGACCAACATAAATTGCTCCACTTATTGAATCCAACTCAAATAGATTACCAACATTATGTGTTGGTATGTATCGTATGTCCTGTTTGGGTGTATTTTTTGCATTATTGTTAAGGTTGTTCTCTGAATGTGTTGTGGGGCTTGTTACTGGAGTTCTGTCTACAATATCAGGTATATTAGACATAAAACTTGTCTGGACCAATCGATAAGTAACTTCACCATTCTCATTTTCGTCTGGGTCTTCAGCTATCAACTGAGCAACACGATAACCAACTGGTTCATTAATAGTTAAATTGACAATTTGATGATTATGCGCGGGAAATATCCATTGTGGTGAGTTATCATTGACATCGATTAAATGTATGTGAATTTGTGTAGAAGATGATAATGTTGGCAATCCGGAATCCATAGCAACAAGGTAAAAGTTATAAGCTGGTACTTTTTCTCTATCCAAATTACCACGAGCTACATAAATATAACCTTTCGTTGATACACGGAATTCATGGATTGTTTGACCTTCTATTTGGGGTTTGATTAAATAATGAATCTGAAGAAAAATAAAAATGAAATGTTTTAAAGTCAACTACTAACAGATGTATTTCAGATCCGATTCAAAGCAAAGGATATATTAATTGAGTCATTCAATAGTTACTGAACAGTTATTTATTCGTCTTTAGTGCTTTTCACTAGCTATTATGCCTTAGTTTTGGACAGCCATTTGCTCTATGACAAGATGAATTATGAATTAAGACTGTTCAAGAGTCTTGAAGTGAACGAAACAATAGTTAGCTACTACGCCGATTCAAACATTTGTTAGACTGATTCCAACATGTAGCGTAAATCAACCTGAGACATACCTGAGATTTGCAGTTTATCAAATACCCCTGCAAAAGCATGATAATAACTGTAATGATTACAGTAGTCTGATTTTAAAAACTCATATTTTTACAAAGTGATCAGGAAAGAATGTAGTTTCCCTTCCTCGTTGTTATTAGCTTTTAAGGGAGGATGTTTAACTTGTGTAGTGTTGCTTAAATGAATCATAGTCACCGGTCTTGATACTTCTCCTTGTTTAACATTTGCCTAAAAAGCCAATTTTTCTTTACTAAACGGCCTTAATAACAATAAACTGAGGTCTTTTATGTTCAAATTGATGTAAAACAAGAATTTGTTCCAACAACGTTTATTGGGAGGTTGACACTGATCAACGGTAGATAGAGAACCTATAATTCTACCATCAAACGTCAAATTCCTTCAGTTGTACTCAACAGTCCCACTATCACATGCACTTTTTGGTATTTTACTTGAAAATAAATAAATGTTTCGTTCTTGTGAAACTAAGACGCTGAATATAGGATAAAAATCTGTAACGTGTACACGAATTATTGTGAAAAATATTTGTTGAAAATATTTCTTCAATTCTTGAAACAATGTATAGGTTATTCAGCTTTGTTAAAACCCTGTCTCTAGATATTCTGTAGTTGCCGAAAAGTAAACCTTTATTAGTGGATTCCTAATCATTCCCACGTGTCAAGTTAGGCTGACTCTAACGACAGTATCTGTATCCACTAAGTGAGATTTGTAGCACAACTCAATGTCAATGAGACCGACTGCAAATATGGTATTTGTTTTATAAGCCCCAAGTTTGACGAGTAAAATCAAGCCATAAAATGACCATAGTGTGCTGAATTCATTTTTATACTAGCAAGCAGCATTCATTTGTTTAGTAGCGGGCAATTAACATTGCGTCATATTCAACAGTCCAACTAATTACAATTACATTCACTAAGAAACTGCTTTTGTACAACAAATAAACTTGAATTTGAAAACGACTGCTTATATAAATGACCGTACTGCAGCTTATAACGTATGCTTACTTTTATTAACCAAGGAAGTTTTCAAAGGAGTAATTAGTAAACGCTTCAAATAAATTTTGAAGAATACTCTTCTATTGTTTCATAAATTTCTGTTGTGTATATTTGTGGAACCGGTTCTTCAAAAAAAGCTAACTTTATCTCTAACTTTTGTGGTAGATAGGTAGGTAGTTGAGTAGGTAGTCAGTTAGTTACTTAGGTAGTTAGTTGGTTAGTTAGATAGGTAGGTAGGAAGGTAGTTAGTTAGGTAGGTAGGTGGGCAGGCAGGTAGGTAGTTAGGTAAGTAGGTAGGTGGATAGATATTCTTTTTCTGAATAAAATGCCAACTGAAACCGTCTAGTGAAGCATCTGGCTACACGGATTTCTGCCTTCTCATCGCATCGTATTAAACCTAGATTTAACATTCTTGTGTAAATTATAGGTGTCAGTCATGATCCACAACCCAAGTTTTACGGCTTTAATGTTGAGATTTAATTATTTTAAAAACAGCTATGCATCCTGAGATTTATCAAGTTGCATGGAACCTGATATCCAGAATTTGTAGTTGGTTCATCCATCTGCTCTGAATTACCATGGCTAACAACAAACGGACGCAAACGATGTAACATGAGACAGTAAAGTTTTATCACAACATAAAGTTTCTGCCCCGAAAACCAATGTCATCATTGTAATGGTTATCTTTATGAATTTGAATTGATTAAGTGTAAGGAATTGACAAGATGGAGTGAATTCATGACTTTTTCTTCAGCTTCAAGCAAGCTACTGGCGATAACTTTGTAGAGATGTATAAATACTAGTAAACCGTTAGGAAAGGATCTGGCTCCTGTAGTGTGAAACCTGTAAGTGGGCTGCAATACAACAAAGTTAATAGGCTATCAGAAAATGTTTGGTGATTGCAGACAGGAATTAGTTAAAAAAAGTGAGTCTTTCGATAAACTGGCTCAGAAAGCGTTTACTTCATTCATCCTATTGTTCCATAAGAGAAAAGAGAGGATGAACGGTATGTTTATGACTAACCACAATGAAATATCACGTCAAGCGAATACAGAAGCATTCTCTTTTATCCTCTCATCTGTGATGTCTGTAACATACCTAAGCAACTTGGTCGCCTAAATTTCTGTTATGTATACTGCATACCTTAATTAGAGCAGTTGGATATCAAACAAGCTGTTGATTGTATGTGCTTTACTGGGAACATCCTCCAAAAGAGTAGTCAAAGGCAGTCCCCTTTATTCTATTTTGAAGTTATTTATCACATACATCAGACTTTAGGAAAGAAACATAATCACTTGTGATATAAAACGACTGCTTGTGCATGTTCTCCAGTAGTTGTTAACACTGTAGTCGCTTCTATAATGACTATGTAGACTACTAAACTCATGTGGGATGGTAACTTCAGTGCTTGTCTAATTTTTTCCAGCAATATGGTTTTCTTCGAAGCATAATTCTGTAAGTAAAAGTCTCCCTAGGAGTTTCCTCATTATCTCTCTTATCAAGGGTTTTGTTTTCCTTATCTTGCTGAAGCTCGCATTAACCTCTTTTGTGGACAGAATAAATTATTTACTTCTGACTGGCTTTTTGAGAAGAATTTCATAGTAGCAATACAGTTGTTCTACACAATCCAACCGTACTTTACTTCTAAATGGTTTGATATTTTGCTTGTAAATCAAGTGCAAAGCATTATTGACATCATGTTCCATTAAAAATTTAATATTATTACATTACCTCTTGGTTTCTATTAGGAAACCCCTGATTTAACTTGGATAATCATAAGCAATGAAAGTGACATCAAGGCACCTTGTGTAGTTTTCCCCTTTTTATTGCGTTTGCTTACTGTACTGTTTTCAAGTTTGTAGCAAATATAAATTGCTAACGATAGTTTTCAGCAACAACTATAAATCAGTCTATTGTTTAAGTTTAACAGTCCAATTCTAGGATGAAGGTGAACAGTCATAGTAGGTGTTAAACTGAAGATTAGATACAGTTGTCCTCTTTTATCATCAAAATATATTCTCAAACATTTTTTTGAAAGGAATATTCATTAATAATGCAATTTTATTGAAAGTAATTACCTTTTTCTGTTCTGTGTCTAAAAGCATACTATCCCCTGAAGATCTAAGCCTCTATACAATCAGTAATGAATCCCAGCTGGTTTGTTGACAAGTCTTTAAGGCTTTTATTTGGAGAGGTAACCATGGATATAAATTGATAGCAAGAAAAATTTCATATCAAAAAGTTAAGCAAAACTTGTATAATTGTAGGTTACTGTAGGTAATCATTCAGGAGGTTTTAACGAATGAGGCACAAAACTTATTTATTTCGTTAGGAGACAAGAGAATACGCAGAACTCATCTCAGTTCCCAAAAAAATCTCTTTATTTTGTTTAGTTTGCAAAGTACACCATGTAAGACATGATTTCGGTGTCGCACTTAAACAGTCAGTTGGCTGGTAATTAGTTATCATCTTCATGATCCGAGAGTTTTTTCCCCTTTTACTAATGTGGCTTTAAGGATGTTTTTTTCTGAAATTGCATTGCTGAGTTCTGTGAATGGTTAAAAATCTTATATACTAGAAAGTTTATTTATTGGTTTGGTTTGACAGTTTCTTTTGCTGTATGACGTTTTTTATCCCAATTAGCAAAAATTTATGCTTGGTTCAAGTATTTGTACTCTTTACCTGTTGTTTAAAATCTGAAAGTTATGACTGAGATATTAACTGTTGGGACTATTATACTAACCGGTACAACATAGTCCATATAAGCTGAATCTTTTCTGCGGTGTGTAGAATCAATTTTGAACCATCTGGATAGTTTTCACATATACTCTCCAACTAAGATCACTGAAAAAGTGAAAGTTGAGAAACGATACGATCTGACAAGAAATTCATAAATCTTCCATCGTGTTCACTTTATTACTATATGAAATTCACCATTTCTGGATGAAATTTACTGAAAACGTCGAAGCAACTCTATGAAAGTGGATGTATTTACAGATCAGCTCCTGTATAGCAAAGAGTATCTGACACATGCTTTATACTTTTTGAGACTGACTGCAGACGTGACTGGTATTGTTGAGGGCTTTCGTGAAAAGCAGTTGGTTCTAAGTTAGTCAACTGCCTTGTAGATGAGACGTGCATTTCAGTAAGCATAAACCAATGCTGTAACACGGGTTGACTGAAATCGCTTAGTTCTTATGTGTCTTCTCCCACTTGAAGATGTCAAAAGCTATGTCAACACCGTTGGTACTCATCACCTGAATTCATTTCTATTCTCTTTAAAATCTTGTGCTTAAATGATTTCAAAATACTTAACGAGTGGTCCTTTATGAAACGTCTAGAATAGGATAACTTTAGCTGAGAGACCATACATTTGCATTGCGCTTTTGCGTGTATGGAACGACCATGCATTTTGGAGCTCATGGGTGAAGCCGAAGTTTTGTCTCAACTGTGCGGTGCATCAGCTGATGAAACGCGCTCGTGAAAAAATTTCCAACCTGGCTTACAAGGGGAGAATAGTAATGCATCTTCGGTTATGGAACATGACTTTCTGGGAAATCCTTCAAAATTCTGTATGAAGTGAGACCAAGCCACTTGAAAGTAAGGCATCTGGGCATGGCTGAAGGACTAGCAGTTCAAAGGTTCGTAACATCAATATGCGTTCAGCAGAAGAGTATAC